GCGAAGCTTTGCTGAGATTGCTCCATCACCACCGCCGCCACGCCGTCATGCCGCCGGAGGACTCGAGCTACTACTTCACCATCGCTCGCTGGATCGAGGAGGTAAAGGAGTCATCAAGCCGTAAATGTGTTGAACACGGAGGTGCCATCCGTTCGGCGCTTGGATCGGGAGTTCGTGGACTGATCATAATTGGATCGTGAAGACGTTCGACTACATCAACCGCGTTTCTTAAATGCTTCCGCTTAGCGAGCTACAAGGGGTATGTAGATGCAATCTCTCCTCTCGTAGATGTTCATCTCCTAGATTGATCTTGGTGAGCATAGGAAATTTTTTGTTTCCCATGCAACGTTCCCCAACACGCCTTGTGTTTCGGCGGCCATTTGGGCCACCAGAGATAATTGCTTGGCACGAGCTCCTGGAGATCGTTGCGCTCCACAAGCTGGACCTGGAGCTGACATACGACTGCATTGCCTGGCGCCTAGAACCCTCGGGCCAATTATACCAGGCCGTCGCTGCCACCCCGGGACCTGCACCATTGAGACGATCTGGTCGCTCAGTCTCCCTCTGAAGACCATGATCTTCTTATGGCAATGGATCCGTGGACGCCTCCCTTCCGGTGTGGAGGTGTTAAAAAGCGCAATGGCCCAGGAGATGTGATATATGTCCTTTGTGTGGGACGGAAGAAGACTCAAACCACACCTTCTTCTCGTGTGTCTTTGCCCAGTTCCTATGGAGTTGCCTCGGCGAGGTGGTCGGTGGTCGTTAGTGTAACACCAACCTCCCGGACCTCTTCGCCGAGATCCAATCCTCGCCCCCGCAGGGCCACCACATTAGGTGGCTGGGTATTGGGGTCCTTGCTTGGACGCTGTGGACGGTTCGGAATAAGCTTGTAATCCAGCGTGTGCCTCTTCGACGTGCTACTGACACGGTGTTCAAAATGTGTGGCTACCTGCAGCTTTGGCGGCCGCTTACCCGCCTCCAGGACCGGGATGCCGTCAGCATCATCATTGTTGGTCTCCGTGCGATGGCTCTTTGCTTGGCGCCGCCGCTCCCTCCTCCACCACCCGAGCCGGATTAGCTCCTTCTCTGCGATGATGCCCCCTTGTTTTTTCTTCTTTCAGGGCTTATTGAGTTGTGCTCTCAGCAGAACCCTATTGTACTTTGTGTTGTGCTATTGGTGTGCGTCTTATGTACTTGTGGACCTATATTGAACCTTGTGGTTGTGCTTGTTTGCTTTATTTATAAAGTGGGGCGAAAGCCTTTTTGGGTAAAGACTAGGATTGATTGTGCAACAACCTCGGTAAGAATTTCCTTTCCTTCAATGGATGGGAGTTTCTCCTTGCACCCTTGCAGCCACATTCATATACTCTCTACAGTATGTTTGAAACAATCATTGGAGGGAAAGATGGAGTTGACAGGGTGGAAGGAGAAACCCTTATGAAGACCTACGAGAGATTGGACTGACAATTTTTTAAATTGACGAAGTTACCACATGCATCTTGTAGTCAACGGGAACTTCATCTCACGTCGCAAAAATGCTTGGAATAAATCTAGAAAAATGCGACACCCATACCAAGTCTGACAGTAGAATCTAAGTGGGTTGATTCCTTAACAAAGGCAGCCCAGAGCATGTAGCTTCTGCTTGCGCAGGGTCCGGGGAAGGTTCCTTCCATGAGTGGGTTGATTTCTTAAAATTCTAAAATCAATTAAGAGTTCCGAAAGAAATCCCAAAGTTTCAAGATACGGGTCTCCTCCTCCTCTAAGAACAACTTCAACAGTTCCCCTAAAAAAAATCGCGTAAAATCAGTTTTACGGGATGATCATAACCTTTAGAGGAAATTGTTTGGAAGCAACTTTTGTCAGTTCTGAAAGCAACTTTTGTCAGTTCCCATATAAATTTGGTGAGCATGAGGTGAGATTGAGGCTGATTTACGAAAATCTCTTCATTGGGTAGGTTTTTTTTTTTGCCACGACGGTTAATTCGATAGGGGACTGTTTCCGTAAATGAAAGGATGACTAGAGCTTTGCTTCGTTTCTCTTGACTAATTCAAAATCACGCCGGCGCTGCCAAGATCCTACTCCACCTTGGCCTTATCCAAACGTTGCGAGCTGCCAAGCGACTCCAACAGTCGAACTAGGTGGAGCAGTCGAGGTCGGCGGGAGCAGCCAATGGAGAGGAAGCTCTCAGAGGCGTCGAAGCGGGCGGCCCCGTCGCCCATCCAGCAGCTCTCCCACCTCGCGCAGCGCGTCGGCGCCGTCAACCTCGCCGAGGGGTTCCCCGACTTCCCCGCGCCTGCCCACGTCAAGGCCGCCGCCGCCGCCGCCATCGCCGCCGACCTCAACCAGTACAGGTCCGCCTCCCGTGACTCCATCGCCACTGATTCGATCACCCTATAGTGACGCGCATTTGGATGGCTGGCTCAAGGCATGTGCAGGGGGTCTGCGACGTGCTCGCGGCGACGATGAAACGGGACCACGGCCTCGACGTCGACCCCCTCACGGACTTCGCCATCTGCTGCGGGCAATCCGAGGCCTTCGCCGCGGCAGTATTTGCAGGTAGTACTTCATGCAAACTACTTCTAATGCTCATTCCGTGCATATGAGCTACTGAATCGTGTCAGCTCAGGTGGAATGCTGTGCTTGGTGAATGTACTCATGCGTATGCGGTTCCTGTTCATGCAGTTATAGACCCAGGGGATGAGGTTCTGCTCTTCGACCCGGCTTACGAAACGTATCAAACATGCATTGAGCTGGCCCGTGGTGTTCCTGTATGTCTTTCGCGTAATCCAAAGTTTTATTTTCAGACATGAATGATGATGGTCTTCTGTTGACTGATCACATGTTTATGTAATTTAATTTATCTACATGAAGGTGTATGTGCCATTGGATCCACCTTCTTGGACACTGGACGCAGATAAATTTTTGAAGTCGTTTACTAGTCGGACAAAGGCAGTGATCTTAAATAGGTGAATAGTTTCTACTATTATCGTGGTTCATAATTGGCTATGAATATACTGCTAACTTATTAGACGACACTTTTATGTTTATCGCTATGATGCTTGCCTTTGTACGTAGCACGAGTGATTTGCACTCATTGTACTAAACAGCCTCTTACAGAAATGTAGGGAAAGGCTGCGTACTATAGACCCAAAGTGGTCGGACCCTTCCCTGGACCCTGCGCAAGCGGGAGCTACATGCACCAGGTTGCCCTTTTGTACTAGTAATTTGGTTGAGTCCAACTGTGCTGTTTCAATTTGTGACATGGTTAAATCTTATTACTGCAGCCCACATAATCCAACAGGGAAGGTCTTTAGCAAGGAGGAATTGCTTATTATTTCTCAAGCTTGTCAGCAAATGGACTGCTTTGCAATAACTGACGAGGTAAATCCGCACGATGATGTGGACAGAAATAGCCTTTAGTAGTTAAACATCTTCAATAAATACATTAATCTGTTTGTCTGTTTTTGAAACGAGTCTAAATTCTGGATATTCTAGGTTTATGAGTATATTACTTATGATGAGAACAAGCATATCTCTCTGGCTTCTCTTCCAGGAATGCAAGAGAGGACAATCATCACATCCTCACTGTCAAAAACATACAGTGTAACTGGTGGGTTATTCAGTTGCATAGCTAGGCTTATTGTACAGATTTACTCATAGTGTTGCTCATTGTACAGATATATTGAACAACTGTGCAGATTTACTATGAATCTGTATGATGCAAGCAACACTATATTACCGTACTCAGTGTAAATTTTGCTAGTGATGTGGGATGTTAACTATAGCTGTGTAAACTGACTAGGTTGGAGAATTGGTTGGGCTTGTGCTGCAGCAAACATAGCCGCAGCAATAAGAAATATCCATGTCAAACTGACAGATTCAGCTCCTGCACCATTCCAAGAAGCTGCGTTGATTGCGCTAACCAGCACACCAGACTACTATGAGTCCCTTAAAAAAGTAAGGTTTCATGCTAACTGTTTATGATTAATGTCATTCTATCAAATTCAACTACCCATCATCGTTTTAATCGTACTTACCTTGGAAAGGACTATGCAGAGTGAAGAGACTTCATTCTTCAGTTACTGAAAAATTATGGTTTCTACATTAGCTTCAAGCCACAAGGTTCAGTCTTTGTCTTTGCTGAGTTGCCCAAGTCCTGGCAAATTTCCGACGTGAGTTCCTTTTACATACTGAACTTCTGTTGAAGTATGAGATAATGAATGAGAAAACACTAATGTTATCCGACAGTTCAACCATGTGCAGCAAGCAATTGTTGATTGAATTGTTAGGTAAAGCAAGATATCATTGCACTGGCACTTGCTTGCTTTATTAGTTACACTGGTCCCTCAAACAAACTAATCCAGAACAGTTAACTGTATAGATTTTCAGATATTGTGGAACTAATAGTGTCACACTCATCAAGCTTAGGTATATTGTTAAGTACCGACTCTTCAACATGTTGTTATTATCTCTAATTCTCTGTCAAGGAAATGCTTTCAAAGTAACCAGTAGAGCACTAACACACAACAACTGAGACCATTTCTCTTTGCTGTCAATGCAGATAGATTTTGTGACGCACTTGATCAACAATGCTGGTGTGGCGGCAGTACCTGGTCGTGGCTTCTTCCACACAGATGCCGACGACCAAAGTTACCATCACCATTATGTGAGGTTTGCGTTTTGCAAGAGTGATGAGACCCTCAAGGCTGCTGCCCAGAAGATGAAGCCGGTTAAAAGCAACGGAAAAGTGTCACATGACACATAAAGGTTTTGCATGTCCGAGAAAGGAAGGTGAGACACAGATCATAATACCCTATACAAACATTTCTTTTCACTGGAAACAACTTCAATATCTCCTACCAGCGTTGTAAACGCAGAAAATTTGAGTTTTCACATTGTCATTTCAAACAGGAATGAACATGTTACCATGTAAAGATGCTCGGAGACTGCAACCTAGCCCGTGTTGGAGCTGATCCTAGCTCCCTTCTTCCACGCGGCTGCTTCACACA